ATTTCGTTTAAATATCTAAAAATACGATATATTTTTTTATTGGTAAGTTTATTCATAAACTTTACATTATATTTTACAAATTATATTATAAAAACTAATTATATATAAAAAAATCAAATATCTCACGAGCTTTCCGAGTTGAGTATCAGGTAGCTCGACTAATTAGTATATCGAGTCGAGCTCGAGTTCAATCTAAGCCGATTGTCGATCGAGCTTTGACTCAGTCAATTTTAAGTAGCTATCGAGTTGTTTCGTATCGTTTACACCCTTAAAAAACACATGAAATTGGTACATACGTTATTCACAATTTGTTTACGGAACTATTTTCAAAATTTATAGTTTGATAAATATTTATTCTAGTACATAATACTGATATATTTACATTTTACTCATCTCATCAATAAAATTGAATCATTATTTTATATTTTTTTAATAATATAATAAAGTATTTTAATAATGTAATTATTATGGAAATTTTTAAGACGGATGTTAACGGTTGGTATTTTTAATGACGTCAAATACACTATATATTTATATTATATTATAAAGCATATGATAAAAACTCTTAAAAAACCATTTATTATGCATGAATTACTGTTTATTGATGCATATTGCTTGAAATTTAAGATTAAAAATATTTTTGCATAAATACAACTTATTAAAGTTTCATATTTGAATTTATGTAACTAACTGCATATAAACATAATCAAATATTGGATAACCATCTCATTTTAAATACAAAAAATCTAAAGTATAATTAGAATAATCATTAAGTTCTAACAGAATACTTAGTTATCATCTTTATAAAAAATTATATTATTAAACATAAATTAAATTATTTCGTTAAAACCGTATTATATCGACATAAAAAAAAACCAAAACATCAAAATGCATTACACGAATACCCTTCTAGTACACTAAAAAAGATAATTAAACCTTGTTTTAGAAACTCATGTTGTATATGGTTATAAATAAAAACAAAATGTTGGTGTTTTTATTTTTTAATATCCTGAAAATTTTATATTATTATTATTATTGTTTGATTTAAGTGAACCAACGGTTCAAATTTATTTGCAGATAATTATGATACGTCATTATCTCACCTAAAATTGTACGTCATTATAATATTTATTATAATATAAATAAATATTTTATTTAGAATAGCATAAAAATTTAAATGTAATTTGTGTAAAAGTAGCAAAATTGACGATTAGACAACAAAATAAGCATTCATTTACATATATTTTATGGTGTTACATCAGCTTTTACAATTACTTTTCAGACACATAATTCATGTGCATTTTAAAAATGGTTCTCACTACAGCCTTTATTAATTATTTATGTATACATTCTAATTATTTTTACTTAATAACATTAACAGATAAATTAACCTTTGGTGCTTTTGCTTCTAAGACCTCGTGAATGTTATATTAGTTATATGTAATTTTATATATTTGATTAATTATAATTTTATGTAATTATAAGATTTAATGTTTAAATTAATTCAATTACATTATATTTATATATATTTTTTTAAATTATATACATACATATAATATTTTCATATAAGAATAATTAATTAATAAATATATTAATATTATTAATTTATAAAATTCATTGTTTGATATAAAAAATAATTTATTTAAATAATTAGAAAAAAAGAGAGAAAAAAAAGGAAATTGGGGAGGAGCTTGGTGGCCCACGTGGCTTTCAATGTCTATTGTAAATTTTACAATTGTTTTCCTACATGACAGTTACAACTCTGACAAAACTTTATTTGCTATTTCATTTGCAAAGCCCATGTGGATGGTCTGAGCCATCTCATTATGTTTGCTTTAACGTTTTCCTATGGAACTATAATTAAAAAAAAATCAAACAAGATCTAGCACAAAGTTTTGATTTTTTTGGTATTTTTTTTAAACAAACGAGTTCTACCAACACCACCAACGATATGGAAAACTATTACCCACATTTTGTAAATGAAATGTTCAAATTTATTAAATATGATAACTGAAGACGAAACCAGAAGCGCTGATAACTAAGCAGAGACCAATGGACACAAGAAGTTTAATCAGCTCACATAACATATTAGATATCCATGTTAATAAAAAATATGTTTTGCCAACGAGACAAACTCACAAGAATTTGGAAACAACTATCGGCCGATAAACTTCTTGAGAATCAAGAGTCAAGGGGTGAGGTATGAAAAGTGAATGTGTAAATCGACGATCAATGGGGAGATTTATCTAAAGAAAAACAGTTCATTTTGTAAGTTTAGTTCACATGAATTCTAAAATCATGAATTACATGAATAATATGAACAAAATATTATTGTTGCATTAAATAACGATGTAGATTTTTTATCATTGGTAATGTTTCATTATGCAATCTAAATACGAAGCATCGAGGTAACTTCTATAGTCAAGTGTTGACCAATCTCGTTATAAATGTATAATTTCTTTAAAAGGAAGCCATATTGATTTTTTTTTGTTGGAGATGTTTGTATACATCAATATGGAAGTTTTTAAAAACGTTATTGAAAATAAAAATAAGAATAAATTACAAAATTTGTCTCTCTGGTTATATACAAAATTTGGATTGGGGCTCCCAAGCAAAATAATTACAGCTGTAATCATTGTGGTTTTATTTTTATTACGGATTGGGTCCGTCATCCTAACGACGTTAACATTAGTTCTGTTATGTATGTTTATTTACTTTATGGGTCCCTCAATGTTTTCTTGATAAGTTTGGATATGTAAGAGGTAATGTCGATGGGTTCTTTTTTTTTTTTTTTTACTTTATAGATATGTTTCTTGACAAGTTCGGATATGTATGTTTATTTACTTTATGGGTCCCTCAATGTTTTCTTGATAAGTTTGGATATGTAAGAGGTAATGTCAATGGGCGTACACAAGAGGCAAAAGATCTAGGTTCATCAATGGTGCACACACACAACAAGGTTATATTTCTTCATCTGGGCTTGATTTCTTCGTTTGAGTTCGAAATCTTCATATGGGTTCGATTTCTTTTTAGGTATAAAACTTTTTCTTACCAGGTGCTCTTCGTGTTTTTTGGAGCAGTTAAATCATGTAGATGGAAGGAAGGAGTTAAGGTAAGATCAATTCGTGGTGGCCAAAGATGGTTGGAAATGGGGAGGGACAATGATGGGGAAGGGAGTTGTAGGTTGTGGGATTATGGTCTCTGTATATATGCTTGTATCTGATACATACACATCTATATAATATGATTATGATATATATATATGTATAATGTAATAATCACGTAGATAAATATATTTTTTCATAAATATAGAAAATTATATATTCTTTCTAAAAGAAAAAATAGGACCAAAATACCCTCAATTTAACAGAGTTGAAGTTGACAACGTTAGGGTAAGAGACCCAATCCATAATAAAAAATAAAACCACACTGACCATTCATGTACTTATTTCATTTGAATGAACCAATTCAAATTTTCATATAACCACAGAGATAAAATTTATAAGTTACTCTAAAAATAATTATTTTTATTTACAATTTGCTCAAATTAGAAAATAATACTCCCTTGGACCCAAATGAGTGTCTATACTACTATGCTTAGTTTTTCTTAAACTAAATGTCTGTTTTCAAAAGTAAATATTTATTTTCCAAATCTACCTTTAATTATGAGATTGAAGAAAATTTATCTTTGTATAATTAAGGATAAAATTGTTGTTTTGTCAATTAAAAAGTGTAATAATTACATATTATTAGAACATTTTCAATAAATTCTCAAAAATGAAGAAAATATATATTTTAGCCAATTTTTGCTCTAAATAGGCACATCCCATCCTCATCGTAAGAGACCATACATGTTTAAATCTCAAATATTTCCAAGAGACCTAAAATCAAAATGAATTTAATTATAAAAAAAAAAACTTAACGTCACACATACTAAAAGAGATTGAGCAATATAAAACCATATCGAATAATATCCAAGACTTACCAAATAATTGTATTTTGAGTTGACATTCAAAATATTACATATTAACATAAAAAAACAACAATTTTAAATTATAAACCTAGTTAGGAAATATAAAATTATGAATTAACGATTTAGTTTAAATAAATAATATACACATATATATAATTTATTAATTAATATAAATAAGAGGTACTGCACGAGGCGGGGAGTACGACTCCCGTTCCCTTCCCCATCCCCATCCCCATCCCCAGTTTGAGACAAACGGGGATCCCCGTTCCCGATTTAGCGGTGAATTCTCGTTTCCGACCGAGACGGATGGATCGGGTTTTCCAACGGGTAGGGACCCATTCTCACGCCTAGCTCCAAATGATTCTCATAAATGAAGAAAGTAAAATAGAAGTTATATATTTCTCCAAATTTAAAGATGTATTTATAAATGATTATTACATTAGGGAAATGAATTTTGTTTATATTCTATTAATATTGAAAATTTGAAATGGAATGTTTATAACATATAAATAGTATTTGATTGATTATATCAAATATTTTAATAATATAATCAATGATATTTATAATTAAAGGTCCGTTAAAATTAAATGTAATTTTTTTTAAATTTTTTTTATCTATTTTGAAAAACTCTTTTAAGAAATTTATTGGAGATATCTTAAAATCGTGTGTAGATATTTATTTGAGGTAGGAGAGATTATATAAAAGGGATTTTTGTGCTACATTGTAGATCCGCGGGTGACGGAATTTCGGAATCTCTCATGTTGTTTCTGTAACAGTCTGTGACTCTAGCACTGTCTATTCTCTCTTCCCAGAAACTATTTTTCGGAATTCAAGTATACATCCTGGGTCGGGTTGTCGGTATTTGACCGAACTCTACCGGATTTTTTGTTTATAAATACACATTACAAGCGTCAACATGCTCATCACAATCTCGCCGGAGAAGCTTGTCTATCATACAATTTCGTCGGAATACTACCAGCTAGTAGCGTTTATAAACAGCCTCCATCGCCACCAAAACCGTCGTCATCTTCCCGTTGATGGCCATGACCACAAATGGCCTCTCTTCTAAGTTGATTCGATCTTTCCTCCGCTGTTTCAACTCTTCTTCTCCCTCCTTCACCACCCCCAAGTTCCGTTTCGCTCAAAGAACAACCATTAACACAACAACATCCACCACCACCACCATCTTTCCACCTCCACCACAACCGCAACAAACCACCACAACCGTCATTGACGACGACAAACTCCGCCGTGACTGGGTTTATGATTTTGAAGACACCAAAAGCCTTTTCTCATCCGTTAAGACTGGGAAACTGATACGATCGACGGCGAACCTTAGCATGGCTTCCGTCGAGCCGGTGGTGGATTTAGGCATGTGGGTGATGAGTTCTAGGTTGATGCAGGTGGGATTTTTCAGAGAAGTGGTGTTGAGTGTGATCAAACATACGGTTTATGAACACTTTGTTGCAGGTGGTCATACCGGTGAGGCTGGTCAGACGGTGAAGAGATTATGGGAGTCTGGATTAAGAGGTATGTTGGATTATGGTCTAGAGCATGCAGTGGACAATGAATCGTGTGATAAGAACACACAGCAGTTCATCAAGACCGTTGAATCAACTCAATCTCTTCCTCCATCTTCTGTAAGTTCTTTCCAGATTAGATTCTTTCTTTTTTCAATCCATGGATCATTCTCTGGTTTGTGATTTCCAAAACGCATTTCATGTTTGAGTTTTGATTCAGAAATCTGATAAACCCATATTCTAAATCCTTTAAAATCGACCCTAGATTTCATTTCCTTTTCTTGAATTGGTTTCTTGAAGTTTCTTGGAATATTCTTGTTTGTTTCTTGGAATGTTCTGATTTCTAGCTATTACAAAGTGATTTGAAACCCAATTTTGTCTTTGTTTTATGACTTAAACCTTTATTTGTTTGAAATTCATCAGATGAATCTTTCTTGTTTGATGTTTACTGAAAATAGGAATTGGTGCTATGAACAGGTTAGTTTTGTAGTGGTGAAGATCACTGCGATTTGCCCGATTTCATTGCTAAAGAGTGTGAGTGATCTTCTTAGATGGGAATACAAGAATTCATCTTCATTTGTACTTCCATGGAAGCTAAAAACTCTGCCCATATTTGCGGAATGCAGCCCTTTATACCACACATTAGAGCAACCATCCCCTTTGACACCAGACCAAGAACATGATCTTGAATTAGCCCACCAAAGACTAATCAGTATATGTAATAAAGCCTTTGAAAGCAACGTGCCTGTAGTTATCGATGCCGAGGATACTTCTATCCAACCGGGCATTGATTACTTCACATATTCGGCTGCAATAGTGTACAACAAGGGCCAAAAGCCTCTGATTTCTGGGACCATTCAAGCGTATTTGAAGGATGCCGGCCAGCGGTTGTTTGAGACCAAGAAAGCTGCTGACAAAATGGGATTGCCGATGGGGTTTAAGCTCGTGAGAGGGGCTTATATGTCGAGCGAAAGGAAACTGGCTAATTCTCTTGGTGTTGAGTCTCCAATTCACAATAGCATCAATGATACACACCATTGTTTCAATGGGTGTGCTTCATTCATGCTTGATGAGGTTTCAAGTGGCCCTGGTGGGCTGATTGTTGCTACCCATAATCTTGAATCAGGTAAAAGTTTGAAAATTTGTGGCTTTTCATCATCTGGGTTGCTTTGGACTTATGATATTTGTTTAAAAAGATTAAAAAAGAATTCTTCTTTAACTTTCTTGGAATGAATCAGGAGATAGATATAGTGCACCAAATTTGAGAAATGTATTGTGAATCAAGAGTATACTACTCAGGGTTATACTGATTATGAAAACCGACGTTAATATGTCAAAAGAAAACGAGGTATTTCTTGAGACAACATTCAAGATTTCGACGTGAAATAGCTTCACCCTGACTTTGCGTTTTGAATGAATCCTTACAGGAAAACTGGCTGCCCAAAAGGCCCGTGATTTGGGAATCGGGAAAGATAGCCATAAACTGGAGTTTGCATCACTTTATGGAATGGCGGATGCTATGAGTTACGGACTGAGAAACGCAGGGTTTGGCGTGAGCAAGTACTTGCCATTCGGACCTGTTGACGAGATCATGCCTTACCTTTTGCGAAGAGCAGAAGAAAACAAAGGGCTGCTCTCATCTTCATATCTTGATCGACATTTGATGATGTAAGCCAGCTGTAAAGATTAATAATTGTTTTCTTTTAATAATAGACTCTACCAGTAACCTGGATAATGTAGTATCAACAATAGTTGTTTCTTGATGGCCAAAGTTTGACCAATGGTTTTATGCAGGAAAGAGTTGAAAAGGAGAGTAACTGCTTTTATTGGGCAAGGATTGGCAGAAAGATTGAAATGTAGGAACATAGTCCAAGTTAAAATGTAGAAACAGATTCAGTTTGGGCCTTTTGATTGTTCCCATAATGTTCCAAGATTGTACATAAATCAATAGGAACATAGGGTTTGTTTCTTTGAGGATGATAATAATAAAAGACGGAGATGTTTTTCATGAAAAAGGATGGATTTTTATGTATGGACATCATTGGAAATAACATATCAAGAGCTGAGTTTTGAATCATCAATCAGGTCCCTAATTCAACAAATTCAACCACAAGAAAACAACAAACAAGAAACACATTACTACAATCTTTTCAGGCTTTTCTTTCTAGCATCAATCTTCTTTTTGTAGGTCTGAGCTTTCGCCAACCCACCTTCCTTCTGTTGGGTTGCCACCGTTGGTGGTGGTGCTGCAGCACCGGATCCGCTACTAACTCCTCCTATCTCAGCCATTGAGTTCAGGGCAGGGGTTGATGGCTCCTGAGCGCTCCCCCCCTTCATGGTGTTCAAGGAAGGGGCTAAAGGCGTAGGCTGCACTATGGCTCCAGAAACAGCGGTTTTTGGGTCAACGCTACAGACTGAGGCATTTGTCTGGTCAACATTTAGAGCAGCAGTTGATTCAGATATAGCCCCTGACTTGAACTTCGGTTTTGGTTTCAGAGCATGAATTCCGGTATACAGCCTGCAATTAAGCCAGCATTTAGTAATAGATCAAGATTATCTTGAAGATAATTGAAAGTCAACTTGAGACATAGTTCAAGCAAAATCATTGACAATTAGTCAAATATATCTAAAATACTCTTTTATGAACAAATAGTCTTATGAACTCAAATCGGTAGCATCAATATATTCATAATGATGCTAATGAGTGGAAGGCGTAGCGGCTAACCTGGCATGCCTAGCATACTCTTCATAGTTCTCAAGCAGCATTTTTCCGGCCTGCTCGTTTAATGCAGATTCAGGAAATGGCTCTATCAGCAAGCATCTGACTACCTGCAATGGAGAGGACTTTTATGACTAATTCTCTTTACATCTCCGTTAGGAAGCTGAAAACAAGATTATAGGAACTTACAACTAGAACATGACGTAAGCCAAGACTAGGTTTCCAATCCCTTTTCAATGTGTTGACACATATCTCACCATTTGTCGCAATGTTCGGGTGGAAGATCTTGGTCAAAAAATAACCTAGAAACAGTAACACAAAGGTTCAGAATGTGGGAAAAGATATACAACGTACCAAGTGAAAAAAGCGCTTGCTTTCACATATTTCATGGAGTTCGCTATTGAATTGGTTAATATAGCCCATGACAGACCTCGCAAACTTACATATCAAAGACGAATAACAACAGAAATATCATAAAGATTCACATAGGCATGAATAAATACAAGCAACAAGAAAGGTTCAGAATTTTGACAAACCTTTAGGAGGTGAGTGGGGGAAATCACGGGACAGAATCAATTTCATGCGAAAAACACCATTCTCATATGGAGTGCCAGCTGCACACCCGGGATACACAAGTCAGAACAAAGGAGTTCAGTTTCATATACTTATATATGTCCATATATGTATATGTATATATATATATATAGAGAGAGAGAGAGAGAGAGAAACTAACGAGTACCTGGGCCATCAATATCAGCATATATCATTGAAAAATCATCATCATTCACTCCTACTTTAATTCCTTCTGGTGGTGTTTCATCGAGATTCTTCAATTCCCTAACAAGTAGCTTGATTACATTTGGAGGAAGATTCTCATTCGTAGCCTGCAATAGTTACACAGTAAAGATTATGAGTGACCTTTCAACCTTTCCCAGCAAACAATTATACTTAAAGTTCTCATTTTAAATATTCAATTAAAAAGGCAACAAGTAAAGCATAAGTATAAGAGTTTAAAAGCATTTTTAAACGACAAACGTACATGAAAGGTGCTATCATAAACAAAAAATTGATTTCACGGACGTAGAGACCCTTGAAGGTCATTTGACAAAGAAAAATTTGGGAAAGAGAGAGAGGACATACCATCAATCACAAAAAGGATTCAAGACCAAGAAGCAATCCTAAAGTCTCAAGAGATGGAGACAATCGCACAGAAAGACTTGATTCGGTGACAAGAGGGTACAAGTCAGTCGTAGTAGCCAATGACAGAGGAGCAGATTGTCAATGAAACAAAGTACCTGTTATGATGATGAATCATTTCAAAGTTATTACACATGRCATGGAAGTCTTAGTTTTCAGCCATATCCAAAATATAAACACCAGGCAAAAGGCAAAGCATCAAATTCATTTATCACCATCATCCCACTCTCTAGACTGGGGTTATTGTTCCAAAACTTATTCATTAGCAAATTGTCTTCCTTTAGTTTGAATTGATTTCTATCTTTCCTTTTTCTACTACGCTCACAATGGTCTCTAGATCAAATGATTTGATTTTAATACATAAGAATGTCTAAACATATGATGTTAGTAATGAAAACATGACAATGTTCAAACAACAAAAGCTTCCACAGATTGTCTTTTAGATGGGTTGAACCAAGGTTAATCCCTAGATCCAAGCCGAACAGCAAGATGGGTTGAACTAAGATAAACAAGTGATTAACGGCACGTGCTCAAAAATTAGTGCGTTATTTYCTAAAATGATAATACTATTTCGCACAAGTAAGCCAGCATATAGTATATATTAAATAACGAATCCATAATGGTTGGTTTTCTGTTATCAATATCATCATCTGGCCATCGAGCATATAAACAGATAACCTTACCTTTCAWACAAGCAACAATGCCTGTGGGATTTTCCTTGCAAGAAAGGATATCTAAAGATACACCTTAACAGGAATGTCCTAAACAAAAAAAGGGAAATGTCGGGACTCGGGTGATCATCTTTCCACAAAGGGTATCAAAACCAACGAAATGATGATTACTATCACGAGTAATGGCAATACATAAGCTCATTTCAAGATGAAGGGTTTAGAATGTCTGAGAACAACTCCCCTGTTCTTCCTAATGTAGTAAAAAAAGTTGTGCATATGATGGTTATGCAAATTTTGAACATGCCTACCAATGGTAAGAAAGCTTAAAACCCAAACACACAGCAGGAAATAAAGTGTCAATCGAAGTTAAACAAACTAAAAGTAAGATCCCTCTTGAATTGTTCATCCAAACCCTATCAATAACTTCAAAAATCCTAAATCCACGAATCGCCAAGAAAACTACCCACAAACAGAGGCTCCGCAACACGTTCACCCTATTGTGTCCTGGAGATGAAAAGCCCTAATTTTCCAGCGCAGAGATTCATTCAACGTTAATGGTTGACCTAATCTATCTTTAACGAACCAAAAATCAAGAACTTTATACTAAAAGGAAAAGGAGTCTGCTCTTTTTACAGTCAAGACAAAAAACGCAAAAACGGAAACCCTAATTCAGACATCAAACACCGAATACTGAATTCGTAACATCCACGACGACAAAACAAATGATTCATCAAAGAAACAACGATCAAGCGAAATTCAACCAACGGCACGAAACAATGATAAAACCCCACTTCAAAAAACACATTAAATCAGAAAAACCATCAGGTAATCGGCTTGAAATTTCAACAAACTTAAAAAGAACGACATATATCACCTCAAATCAAAAGCCTTCGTTCACACTGGGAAACGGGAAGCAGCCGTATCTTCCTTCAAATCATAGATTGCACAAATTGATGAGAATCGATGGATCGCTCTCTCTCTCTCTCTCTCTTTCAAATGATTGATGAGGTTTAAAATGGAGAACGACAGATGTGAGAGGAAGAGCGTTGAGCTTTCCTTGGCCTGGCCATGGATATATACCCAACATTGTTCCAAGAGTTTACCGTTGAGGGTTCTAATAAAGTTTCACTTTGGTACCCTATATTATAAAAAATTACAATTAACACCCTCATATGGGGTAGGTTTTGTTATTTGTGTATAGTTTAGGGCTGAATTTGAAGTTATCTCATTTCCTCCGTCGGTACAAAGCCGAAAACGGAAATAAAAAAGTGTCATTATCATTCACAGCTTGCTTTTTATTGGTTTTCAGTATTTCCAATTATTAGAATTTGATAAAATAAAAGACCGCATTAATTATTTAAATATTAAAAGAAATACAACATTTCTTTCTTTCTTTTTTAGTAAATCTTTTTTCTATTTGGTAATGAATATTAATTTTTAAATATTATAAATAGTTCTCCAAAAAAACATTTATTAAATTGAAAAATAAAAAATAGTGTGATTCTTTTCTTTTATATTAATGGTTCGTCTTTGACAAATTTCAAAATTTTGGATTCAAATAATGAATATAAAATAAAAAAAGTCAGTTTCTTGAATTTTATATACAAGTTTGAATTTTTTTAATGGGTCTAGATAAGATTACGAAAGGGAACAATTTTGTGGGGCTTGCGGGTTATCAAACCATATCTTTTGTCCTTTTCCATGTAACTTTCGGTGGCTCTAGCCTTTGAGTCAGGTAGGCATGACAATGAGGCGGGGATGGGGCGCGTTTTGTAATCCCCGGTCCCGGTTCCGGCGGGTACAAGGATTAACATCTGTCATCAGTCAAACCCCATGAAAAATATCCGTTAGTTTGAGTCTATCGAAGATCCCCGGTCCCAACCCCAGTTTGAGTAGCAGGCCCCGGCCCCGGTTTGAGTCTACCGATGGTCCCCGGCCTCGGGACCCATTTTAGCGGGGAATCCTCGTGTCATTCGGGTTAGGTGAACCGGCAGCTGGGTTTCCCACCGGGTTGGGGCAAATCACCATCCTTAAAGTCACGTCTCCATCTTTTAAGTTTGTTGTTTGTTGCTTTTGGTTTTTTTGTGGTTGCCTACATTTTTGTGTGTGTTTTTACTTTTGTGCTCCTCTATTGGTTCTGCATCTCGCAAATATGTTTGGAGGGTCTTGGTTTTGTTTTGTTTCAGTATTACATTGTCTTTAAAAAATCAATGTTTATTCTAGCCCGATTCTTGATATAAAAAAACTTTCCAAACTTTATATAAAAATGTCTTCTTGTTGTCTTTATCAACAAAATATAAACTCATACGATGAAATGATCTTCTTGTTACGACCAACTAATACAAAATGATTTGATATCATAAAAATAATATAATTTGATTTGATGTCATAAAAAACTAGTATTCACCAACCAATAATTTAATTATACAAAAAACTAAAAAACTATATTCGATTATTATTATTATAAAGATATTTGTTTCAATAATTTATTTTTTTGTAAATTCTGAATTATAAACATATAAGTTGTTATAATTTATTTTAATTGAATTACGCGTTATTCATTGTTAAATATATTTCAAATTAAAAATCGTAATTTCACCTGTTTTTCATCCAATAAAAAATAAATAAACATGACATCCTTTGATAAATAAAATATTCATACGATTATTGTCTTTTATGTTATGACAGTTTTTTTTACGTATTTTCATTTATCAAAAAAGATAATTAATTTAAATTACATAAATGATTTTTTGAGTTGTTTTTAATATAAAAAAAACATGTTCTCATATTTTCAATAGTTTTTAAATTTCATTAAAATCATGCAAAATTGTTTAATTAATATGATAATAATATTAAAATGACGCAAACAATAATTATTTAGTAGTTTGTCAATAATTATTTTCGTGCATTTTAGGTTCGGTGCACTTCTGCTCATAGTGGGTGGGTCTTCAACCAAACACTACAAGCCAAAACGAATACAATACCATTATATTGTTTTATATAAATATATATTTTTATATTACGATACAAATTCAAACAAGATTCATATAAAACGTTAATTAAAACGAATTAATATGTACTTGTTAATTTGAATTTCCTTTTTTACTAACTTGGAGATCTAATCAACTATGCGAACCGATCAATTTCAGAATGACCATCTGCTTTGTGAGTAACTCGGAGTCACCGTATTTAAACCTCCGTGGCCACAAGGGGATTTTTATTCCTCTTTGGTTATAGATCACTTCAAATTTTTGTTAAACAAAGTTTTGCATTACTAAAAAATAGAATTATATTATGTTCTTTTGATCATAGTATTTGACATTCATTGCATCAAAAACATTCTACCTTTTCCAATACAAAGTTTCCAAAACAGACTTACAAAAACAAAATCCAATTTATTTCAATTTAGGGGTCGTTTAGTCAACATTTATCTAGCAAGCACCTACTGGGTTATTTACTTTACTGGATTAACATGACAAAGATCAAGAACTTTAACCTATAAAAACGATGACAATAACCAAGAGTCTTACCAGGTAAAAACAATAACAAAAATCGAGAATCTTACTCAGTAAGTGTGGATGATGAATCTTATATGGTCAGCGCTTGTTGGAAAAATTATTGCATACGATCCGTTTAATAAACTATAATTCACACGGTAAATAGAAGTTAAAATATACTCTTATCGATAAGTGCTTAGCAAGAAAGTAATAATTAAAACCATAAAGGGTGGTGCTTGATTGGTTTGAACTTGACTCCAAAGATAAAAAAATATTAGGAGATCCTAGGTTCAAATCCAAGAAGAAATAATAATCCTCTTGTGGCCACGGAGGTTCAAATGCGGTGATTCCGGGCTATTTGCAAAGTATGTGGTCGTCTTAAGATTAGTCGACTTGCATAGCGGGTTGAATATCCATGTTAATTAAAAAAAAATAGATGAAGTTATATTAATAAAAACAATAAAAGCAAAGGGTAAAGACGCCGACGCAGTTTGCCTTGGTTAATGGACCGTAATCAGAGCATTAAACCAAACCATGGGCATCAATTGCAAAATCAGTCCTTTAATTATTTGTTAATTATGTAAGCTTTAGTGATTGATAAATTTATTTTAAGCGTTAATTACGGATTTGATAAATTACGGATATGGTCCTCATGGTTATCATTTGTTTTCTTATGACTAAAGTCCCTCTCATTTACGATCGTTAGAAAAATATGTTAATCCAGTTAACTTATGGATACAGTCCTCGTGGTTGTCATTTTTGAGATTAACGACGCTAGTCGGAATTTTCAACATACCATAAGAACTAAATTCGTAATTCACTTTTATTTTAATGTTGTTGTTCTTCAAAGTAAATGCTTATTTTGTTCGCTTAAAAAATGTAAATTTTGATTTGGTAAATAATTTAATATGAGTTTCTGATAAATAAAATAACAAGTAGTGATATAAATTACAAACAAACAAATCGAGATTGGATCCATATTTTTCAAAATCATGTCGTAAACTTTTTAGACGTAAGAATGTAAAAGATTGTGGTCGGTTTTTCTTTAGGGTCGGTCATCAACAAATGTCATAGGTTGTCGTACGTTTATCTGATGGGTGTTTGTGAATGACGACGACAATAGTGATTGTGATACGAGCCGACTAAGGAATAAGGGCCTGTCCTATATCATGTGCAGAGGAAATCCCGTTCTTTTTCTTTTCACAGGATTGTATGTGGACAAATACATTAAGGAGTTGGTTACCAAATGTCTATCCTGTAAGCATTTACCAAGACACTTTCGCTTATCGGTTGAACATGACAATAATTGTTAATATTATCCGATAAGAGCAATAATAATAACCGATAATTATACACGGTAAGTGAATGTGATGACTGTTATCCGGTTAGCGTTTACCAGATAAATTATTGCATACGAGTGCCGTTTTGATGGACTAGAATTTTATCAGTGAGGTATATGAAAGTGTTGATTCGTAAATAGCCTGTAAAAAATACCAAAGATGTTGATGAATGTTTTTTTTGTCATTACAATACGTTGAATCACGAATCGTTTAAAAACGTAAGAAAAGTAATTTGAATTCGAAAATAATTTGTTGCATCCTTCATTGCGTCTGAATAAAATATTGTTAGATTTAACGACTTTTTCTACGATAATGGATTTAAATATTTAATAAAATAGATTTGCAAATTTGAGTTGACTCGTCAACGATTGATTAATATTAAATCAAATATATTACATAAATTCCTGTTAAATAACATCCTGTGGCTGTAGTTTAGTGGTAAGAATTCCACGTTGTGGCCGTGGAGACCTGGGCTCGAATCCCAGCAGCCACAAAAACTTCTTTTTCCTTTTTAATAAATAATTAAATATTTATATTATTTTAGAATGAAAACTTCTTTTTTCATTTTTAATTAATTATTTATATTATTTTAGAGTGAAACATTATTGATCCCTATGCTTTACCTGTTTTTTAATTTTGGCCTAGAAAATTCATTATTCATATAAGTGGTGTTTACTTTGCGTTTTGTTAACTCCATCTCCAAAAAGTTTTTTTTTAAATATATAATATTTATATACGGTAAATGCAACAAAACTCACACACCCTTCTCATATTTGGTAAGGTTTGAACCTCTGACCTCCTACGAGGTCAAGGACTACGATACCACTATATATTTTCCCATTTATTATATATAAAGGTTAAATTATGTGAGGATCAAAAAAGATTAACAATCTTGAGAACTAATCAAATTCATATACTAGATTAAACCAGATGTCATTAAAAGAATAAGTCTATTTGATATAAAATGGTAACACAAGGGTATTTTTGTCAAATTAGAAAAAAATCGAAAGGCATGTTAGAGTTTTTAAACCCAGTAAATGGGCTTCATCTCACCTGTTGCCTCCTCTCTGTCGCCTCCTATCATCTGCTCCTCCTCCTTCTCGGCGTCGCCTCCTGTCACTAGGAATCATCGATTTTTGCATGTCATTTAGTTGGAAGAAGATTAGGTGCATGAGGTTTTCGCAATTCGTGGCCGATCATCTTCGGTATCGTCGAAACACGGTGGTTCTCTTGTTGTGGAAACCGGTTTTCCCAACTTCTCTTGTTGATCTTTACGTCGGGAATCACGATCAGTTTCGTAAATCTTCAACGAAAAACAAAGGGGGTGACTTAGAGTGGCCGTAACATGGAAATTGACAATTTGAGTATAATTGTCGTAGAAAAGAGCGTTGAAACGACAAAGTTGAATAAGGTAGTTGCGGTTGCGTTGAAGGTGTTGTTTGTTATGGTTTTGATCTTAGGGACAAAGAGGTTTAAGTTTGGGATTTCAATATTAGTGGTTTTGTATCGTTGATCCAAGGTCAAAATCGAAACAATATTGGTGGGTAGTGTTATGAAACAGAGGCATAGGGCCTGGTGTGATCGTAGAATATGGTGATTTGAAGGCTTTAATAGATGGCAATTCTATAGATGCTGTTAGTTTTGCAATCAGAAAATTGTGTTTGGATTTCATAAGGTGAAATAACATATTTACAAAAATTGTAATTTATTTTAGGGGGTTAAATAGCATGGTGAGTATGTGTTTCATTTGGTGAATATGTTAAATTTCTGTTCATAATTGTCACATGTGTTCATATGGGTGTATACATGTCAATTTGTGTTCATAATTAGCAAGACATTCGCTTTGATTATTTACTTCACTTCCCGATCTCGAACTCCGACTGTCACCCTAAACAATTTTAACATTTTCAATGTTGTCGTGTTGTTTTCCAATGTCTTTATCCATAATTGCTTGAACGATAACAAACACTTTACTAGCGGATCTCCTCCACCAATCACAAATTTATAAGTATTAAAAATGGAAAATCAATATTAAAAAAAAAATCACAAGACCAATATTAAAAATGTAAAAATCATGAGATTTTATGGATCACGTAACTCCCAATTAATTATACAGGAGTTACAAAAAAATTATCCATATACCCTTAATATTAAATTATTAGATATAGTAGAACCTAATACTAAGATGGATTGTGATTGGTTAAAAAAGTTCATAAAGTTAACACAATAATTTAAGTTAACATTTAAACTAAATGCTCTCTCTATGTATGTGTGTATGTATGTATGTATGTATATATGTGTGTGTATATATATATATAGGGTATATTTCTTTTACAACCTTGTGTATTTGTACAACACTTGCAACCCAATTAATTGAGATATTTATAGAAATGATAAAAGTTCATTTATTATGATTTGAATATTTATGGAATATAAATAGAGTTCATTAATTATGATTAATACTTTATATTAGGAAACAATCAAAACTTCTATGAAATCACATATTCATCAAATGAAATGGACGGTTGAGATTGGGTTGTATTGGTTGCACAAATGTCAAAGGTTGTATAATAACCAACCTATATATATATATATATATATATATATATACTTGGGATCATGTGAGACCAATGGTTTTTCGTGAGACCCGGAAGACCAATTCTCAACCCAGTCTACAATCTGACAATCTAAACATTCATAAATGCCACGAGATTTATCAATAATCACAAAATTGTCACCGTGCAATTTAGACCGTTAGATCATTAACTTATAAAGTTGATTAATGAACATAAAGTCTTACGGGTCTCACGAAAAACTCTTGTTCTCACGTGAACCCAACCCTATATATACATATATAGGGGTCCAATTAAGAGAAAACTCGATTGTTTGTGATAACTGTGAGATATAATCTCAACCACACATTATTAATAATCAATGGTTATTATTAAACATATTAATTTTGGTAATTATTTATTAATTTTCAAATAATTTAAATTTACTGATAATATATAATATAATGTTAAAATATAATAAATGGGCAAAAAGAAAAAAAAAAGGTAAAAAGAAGAAAATGCTTTTACATGAGAGGCACACTATTGATTTAATAGAAATTCCTCTAACAATATTAACTTAGGTGGTGGATTTTGCGGTTTGGACTTTGGAACACTAATTAAAAACCACCTGTGTAATAAACGAAACAAAAACTAACAATGTAATTCACTATTAAATTTATAATTATTTTATAGTTTTTCTAATTTAAATGTTTAAATACAAATATTTATTATTAACATTATTTATAGTTTTAGATCCTTTCTATTAGATTACTACAATTTTGAGAAAACAATCCCTACAATTTATTGTGATTTTTTCTTACTATTCATTGGGACTCCGACTTCTGAGATTAGTCGAAGAATGTACAAATTGTTCCGGACATAATGGATTAAAAAATAAGTAAAACAAGTAATTATAGAAGAGTTGGGAGAAATTATGATAAAAAAGAAAGTTGTGTTGAGAAGTATAAGGAAATGTTTGGGATTGCTTATCTAAAATAATTTATGTTTTTTTATAAAAGTTTTTATCAATTTATTATAAGTTAGAATAGTTTAACTTCTTCAAAAACATTTTATTATTGATTTAACACCGTATAAACTGCTTATTCAAACGCTTAAAAAATAATTTTTTTTTTACTGATTTCACATCAATATAAATCAATAAATCGGTTTTACAAACAATCCAAACACCAGTGAAAATGTTCACTTTCACCAAAGATAGATTAAAAGCTAGGATTCAGATCGCCGTAACTTCAATCTTCTCCATTATACAAAAGATGCCACTGGTGATTTCTGCATAAACAGATGGCAAGAAAATATATTTGAGATTGAGAACGTGTCATCGCATAATCTTAAAAAGAAGCAGCAACGTTTTTTCCTTCTCTCTGCTTCTGAATCAAGCGAACACAGTGGAAAGGTTGTGAATTCGTGTGTGACGTGAGGGTAGATGCTCCATTATCGAAACCGCAATCAAGTACCGAAAGATTCACCAAATAGCAAATCTTTTTCAACACCCTGTTCCCAAAATTTCCTCTAATTTCAAAATCCTTCACTGAATCAGGTCAGTCTGTTTCAAATCTTGTTTATATTATCAATTCCTGCTTTCTTAATTGTATGAACCCACAAGTGATGCAATTGTTTCCCTTAATGATGGGTTTTGCGTAACATGTTTCGAGATTCTTTATTCTTTCTGTTGATTGATTCCAATCTCCATTCATGATCGCAACAGACTGTCTAGGGTTTATTAATTTAGTTTCACTTCCGATTTGTTCTTATATTCTATGATCAATTGATTATGAACCCTAGGTCAAATACATTTGAATTTTAGGCTTTTAGCATGTTCATACACTATCCAAAACATTTAAAAAATTTTGAATTTTGGAAGGGTATTCACTGTGTTTCTTATTGTTATGGCATGATCTTGATGATGGATCCTCAAAGTTGTTGGATTCTTAAAAGGGTATAAGAAGAAGTATGGTTAATTCGGAAAAGCCACGTAGGAGAGTTGCATTTGTCCTAATTGATGGACTGGGAGATGTTTCTATTCCAAGATTTGGGTACAAAACTCCTCTTGAAGCTGCAAAAGTGCCAAACTTGGATGCCATTGCTTCAGCTGGAGTTAATGGTCTTATGGACCCAGTGGAAGTAGGCTTGGGCTGCGGAAGTGACACTGCTCACCTTTCGCTATTGGGTTATGATCCTCGGGTGTATTACCGTGGCCGAGGCGCGTTTGAATCAATGGGTGCTGGATTGGCCATGGCACCAGGGGATATTGCTTTTAAGGTATGTATAATGGCTTACTCTTCTTTGAAATACCAATGTTGTGAATATGTTTGATATATTGTAAATATAAATGATGATTGCTCGCAAAAGTCGAGTTTCAATTGATCAACAGTCCTTTCACTCTAGTATGTGAAAATTTTAGGTTTGTTTAGTTTTTGGGCAAATTCCATAATAATGGAACCACTTTTGCTTTTGTTCCTATTGAGGAACCGACTTTCAAAACCTCAACTATGAGTAACAACATTCAACACTTCTCATTTGTGGGACTTGGTGACCAAATTTATGTTTCCAAAATAGGAATGAAAACAAAGTTGGTACCATTTTGTTTCCCAAAATGAGAAATTTTGAAAGTTGGTTGCACAAAATGGAGAGCTCTTTGCAGTTGCTTTGCTTTGCAATTCAATCAACAAAAAAGAAATGTTTAGCACCACCCATTAACTTTTTCCTTCACATGAGTTCCTGATATCTATTGGGTAGGTGACCCATTTTGTGCACATCTTAAAATGAGTATCTATATGCTCAAGACTGCATATGTTGGACACTTCTCAAGTACAATGTAATGGCATAAATCAAACCGATCAGTACCCAGAAGGGTCTTGAGGGGTAGAATGTATGCAGACCTTACTTCTATCCCAAGAGGTAAAGAACTAAAGATGATGTTTCCATGGAGACCCTGACTTGAGAAGAGTTTTTGGAGTAAAGTTTTTGAAGACCCAAATAGCTTGTGAAGATAAGGATTTGACGGTTTTGAAAAGTTACATGAGTGGTTGAGATAATTGTGGTATATTACCAAGAGTTTTGTAAAAGTAGGACAGGTAAGTAAGGTAGGAAATAAGAAAAAAGTTGAAACAACTAAGCACATTGAAAGCATGGGAGAGCATAGATGCTACTGAGGGTCATGGACATAATATAGAAAATTGGCTTATGGATTGAGAATAACAAAACAAAATACACATGGCAGAAATCCTGTTTAATTGAATATCACATAGACATAATAGAACTACTTTAATTCGATTAACGTAGATGCCTATTTGCCACTCATGTTGATGGTAATTAGGGTCTTCCTTAGTGCTTAGATCTGATTAGAATGGTTTTTTTTCTTAATTCTTTACCATTGCTTCACCCACATACGACCAAGACCGATACATTCAGCACCAGTCAATAGAAGGGAGGAATAACAGATAACCTTAAGTAGATGTAAGGGCAAAATAACGGATAACTAGGAAGGAATAACTAATAACCTTAAGTAGATGAAAGGGCGAAATAACGGATAACCTTAAGCAGATGAAAGGGAGGAATAATGGATAACCTTAAGCACAATGTGATAGCATAAATATTGTGTTTCATAGTTATTGTGTGTGCAAGACTGTTTTGCCACTGATTTTATTTGAGATAACGCAAACATGTAGGTTGAAACTCCTATGTTTTTTTGGTTTGTCTGATGCATACACTAAACCTTAATTTGTAATTTCAGATCTCCATGAGTAAAAGTTACCACATCTATGCTCATTTTTGTAATATTTGTAATCAATTATACTTGGAAAAAAGGAATTGTCTTTTTCTTTCAATATACTTTCTCTGTGCCATGAATATTGCAAGGTTTGACTGGACACATGGGTCGAGGAAAGTGTTTTACTGTTAGTTAAATATCCTAAATACCCTCTAATGATGATAAAATTGGGGGATTCTATGGATCCAAATCAAGATCACAGATCTTTTATATTGATGACAATGGGTAAAATGAAGTATCTTAACTTAAAAAAAAAAAAAAGATTGAAACTTTATGAGATGAGACATCCCAAAATGGAAGCACCTGCAATTTTCATAGGATGGAGGAAGTAGAAATTACTGTATACATATTTGAATCTTGCAATAACACATCTTATTCTTTATTCTTCTAAATATACAATATGTTCTTAATGGTTGTTGAAATCAATTGTTTCATCCCCTCTATTACGTTACTTAACAAAAGTCTGAGATTTGGCATGTTTGTGAGGACTAATGGTGAAAAAGATGATTATAAGAAGAATCATCAAGAAATCTTGTTCTTTTGTGTTCTTACACCACAGTGAACAGTTCCATATCTAGTGTCAACATATGTTCTATTTTGTGTGGATGTCAAATAGAATCCACCAACTTTTATTTTTTATTTGTTTCTTGATTGCGGTTGATGCTGATTTTCGTTTCTATGACAATCCATCAGTCAAACTTTGCAACCCTGGATGAGAAAACAGGAGTAGTCACCAGCAGAAGGGCAGATAGACACTTTGAAGAAGAGGGCCCCATCTTGTGTGCAGCACTGGATAAAATGAAGCTGCCATCTTTTCCCGAGTATGAAGTCAGAGTCAGGTGTGCATATCCTCTTAACTGAACTTTCTTTGCTTTACAATGTGGATAACTACCGAAACTGTAACATGGTTTCAGACTTGATGACAAAGTTTAACTATCAAAGAAATACAAATTACAAGACTTGTGGATCTAAATCAATAGCCATAAGTTTATTCATAATGATATTAATGGGCAAGTTAAAAATGTTGAAGCTTTCAAAAAATAGGAACTGTATTTTTGGTTGCAAATGACTCGTTAGTGTTAATAATGATGTTGATGTATATGGTTCTTATGCTTCTTTTAGATTTTTTTCAGGTATGCAACGGAGCACAGATGTGGGGTGGTTGTGAAAGGACCCAAACTAAGTGGAAATATATCAGGAACTGATCCATTGAAGGATAACCGGTTACTTTTAGAAGCACAAGCTCTTGATGATACAGAAGAGGCAAAGCATACCGCCATCGTTGTCAATGAATTATCCAAGGAAATTTCTAAAATCTTGGTGGCTCATCCCCTGAATGAGAAACGTGCTGCTGAAGGAAAGAACATTGCCAACATTGTACTTTTACGAGGCTGTGGTATTAGGATTGAGGTATGATCTATCATCTTCTTTCTTTTAATGTATATAATATATATATATATATATATAATTAGTTTATAAGGACCGCCATTGAATAGGATGGTGATTTTACCCCGACCCGAACGGGGACGGGGATTCCCGCTAAAACGGGTCCCGGGGACGGGGATCCCCGGTAGACTCAAACCGGGGACGGGGAATGTTACTCAAAACGGGGTCGGGGCCGGGGATCCCCGGTATAATCAAACTAAAGCATACTTTTGACCGGGGATTGACTGGGGTTTACCGGGTTTTGACCGGGGACGAGATGATAATCCCCGTACCCGCCGGGGACCGGGGCCGGGGCCGGGGGACGGTATTACAAACCGGAACCGGGGCCGGGGCCGGGGATTACAAAACCCGCCCCATCCCCGCCCCGTTGCCATGCGTCAATAACCATTCATCAACGGATGCTGCTTCCCATACATATAGGGTCAGTTTCAAATACATATAGGGTCAGTTTCAAGAGAAAACCGCAAAAAATGAAAAACTGAGGAACACCCTGGTAACCTGGTAACCGTTCATCTTTACGCTATGCACATGTGAATACAAGTAATTTGTAAGCAATTTGTCCAGGTATCAAAGAAACAACTTCAATTACTTGTATGCACATGTGCATACCGTCAAGATGAACAGTTGCAATGGTGCTCCTCAATTTTTTTTTTGGGGGGGGGGGGAGGGGGTTTCCCTGAACCTCCCTATCCCTCCCTCTCTATATATGTGTGTATATATATATGGCAAATACACAAACTGCCTCACTATTATAGTGAGGTTTGAATCCTTGACCTTCAGGGAGGCTTGGATTTACTAGTAACCCGAATATGTATGGTATAATATCATCTTTATGCAATCTCTGCATGAAACAAACAAGAAGAAGTCTTCACAGAGATGTAACTTTTTACAGGTTCCTTCATTTGAGAAGAACCATGGACTACGGCCATGCATGGTGGCTCCTACGAAAATCATAGCTGGGCTTGGCTTATCCCTTGGTATAGACATTCTAGAAGCTCCAGGAGCCACAGGAGATTATCGGACCTTATTGACATCTAAAGCAACTGCAATAGCAAAGGCATTATCGGCTCCTATGCAGCCTTGCCCCAATGTTTTCGTACCAGGAGAAGATGAACATAAACCTGGTCTTTCTGATGGTTATGATTTCGGATTTCTTCACATAAAGGTGTTCAACTTTTCTTTTCTTTTCTTTTCCATTCTTAACTTGTTTCAATGTTTTATGGGTATTTGACAAATTGAATAAAGATCCTTTCTTGTCTATATGAACAAGGTTAAGAGCTTAAGACTTCATTCATTTACACAATTTTCTTCGGTTGTGGCCCCATCTTCATTTCTAATAAATGGAAACCAAATAAAAAGGTTAAATTCTTGATTGATAAATTGCAGGCAATAGATGATGCAGGTCACGATAAAGCAAGCGTTTTTAAAGTCAAAGGGTTGGAAGCCGTTGACAAAGCCATAGGGCAGCTTGCGAGGCTTCTTTGGGAGGCAGAATCGACAGGCCGGTTCCAGTTTTCCCTTTGTGTCACGGGAGACCACTCAACTCCTGTTGAATATGGAGATCACAGCTTTGAACCTGTTCCATTTACGTTGTGTCGATTGAAAGACTATGTGGGCGCAGTTGGCGGAGAGTCGGTGGTTAAACAAACTTGTCTTGATGCATTTCCTCTACCGATCATCAAAGCCGGTGAAGACTTATCATCAGCTGATGTGGTGGCAGAAGAAAAGGAAACAAGTCAAGCCTTTTCCGGCGATTCAGTTTGGAAGTTAAATGAAATAGTGGCGGCAAGGGGTTGTCTTGGGCGGTTTCCTGGCGGTCAGATGATGGGAATTATAAAGAAATTTCTTGAACTTGAGTTATGAGTGTGGTCAGTAATGGAGGTTAACGAATAACAGTTGTAAGATGATTAAAATGATGTTGAAATAATGCTTATTTCCTGTTTTCTGACTGGGTGATGCGTACTTGATGGTTAAAGTGATAAGGGTATAGATCGTTTACGGTTAGAACCAGGGCCGGATACAACCGGTTAGGACCAATCTACATGGGTTGGGACCAGGCCCGGATATAACTGGTGAGGACCAATCTTTATGGTTGGAAGTTGGAACCTAGAAAGGTTATATTTGAATTTCCATATATGTCTTGTTTATAGGAATCAGATACGGTTGTTTTTTTTTTTTTTTTTAATTAACCTAGATATCCAACCCGTTATGTGAGCCGACTAATCCCAGGACGACCACCTGTTTTGCAAATAGCCCGGAGTCACCGTATTTGAATCTATGTGGCCACAAGGGAATTTTTATTCCTCATTAGATTTGAACCTGGACCTCTTGGTATTTTTGACCTTTGGAGCCAAGCTCAAACCAATTAGACACTACTCTTGTGGTTGAATCAGATACACTTTAGACGTGACCATTTGAAAAATGATTATAGCTGATGGGAATTGCATTCGAAATCGAGGCCTCACGTCATACTTGATACGAATTTAGTGTATTCATCAAACCTACAAAAGAAGAAGAAAAACTTATGGATCGTATTAATTTCTAACGGATTTTTAAAATAAAATTTTGAATTTTTTTCTCTAACATTATATTATAAATTTTTTCTTTAAAATGAAAAAAAAAGTATGAAATTTTTAAAATTTAAAGAACTCACAAAAATGAGTATAAGGATTTTCTTTTATTATAAGTTCTTGAAATTAAATATTTATGAGAGAGATAATATTTTATTATATGTATAAAATATTTTAATATTATAATCTTTAAAAATTAGAATGAAGTAGCTCTTGGAGATGATTGTAAATTTATTTTTGAAAATTTTGAATTTTGAGTTTTTAAAAAAAATCTCTAATAAATTCTCTAAAATGGAGATTTTAGGGATTTTGAACATGTTTTTTGTTCCAACAGATTTCCCAAAATGAAAAATATAAAAGAAAGAGTATAAATTTCTCCAAATTCAGATAACTCCTAAACGATAACAACGAGGAAATTATAAAACTTTAAAATTAAATACTTAGAGGTATAATATTATATTAGACGAATGATATATTTTAATAATATAGTTCATATTATAATCTTCCAAATAAATTTTTAGTTGAATTTATTTTTGTTTTAAAAACTTCAAAAAAAAATTATATTTTAATGAAATTTTGGATATCTTGTTAAAGATACACTACAGGGTCGATTAAATATACAATTATTTTAAATTTTCGCACTTATTTATCATTTTTTATATTTTAATGTACGATTGTGACTTTAATACAATTACACGAATATAACAACACTCTTTTAACACGTATTTTAATCTAAAGTTGATATAAGTAGTTGCACAATCCCGTTCTTGATAATTTTATAGGCTCTGGACGAACGTAATAACAAAGCCCACTGCAAAAAACAAGGTTTTTAGCAACGACTTTGTCGTCGCTAAAAGTCTATTTATCATCAGAAAATAGTATATAACAACAATATGTCGTTATAACTTGTGGCAGAAACATGTCATAACTAAAAGGTGCATCATCAAAGCTTACTTTTCTTGTAATGACCCTCGATAAGTACGAAAAAATTCAATAAATGTTTTTCATCAGTATAAATTAAGTACAAGAAATGCTAATAATTTACTGAGAAAATAAATCTTATTTATCTTTATAATAGATATATAAGAGATTACTTGAATTTATGTACTTCTTATTAGGTAATTTGAAACCAAAAATATAGAAACTATGATTGATAAATTTTTATAAAAAATAAGATTTTTTTAGTTAATAACAAGAAATATGTATCATTTTGATACAAAAAGAGAATTCGTATGAATGAAGTAATTGTGAGAGTCAATGAAGAATCAATAATAAAGAAGATTATCAAGATTTTCTGGACAAGTAGACAAATGAAGATCAATAAGAATATGAAAGAAAAGATGATCCATTGAGATCCAATAAAAATAAATAATAAATGAAACATATAATATGCAAGCTTAATAAATGATTGTTTGAGCACTAAAATAGAATCTTCTGGTGTTATGGAATCCCAATGAAATATACATAAGTCAAACAATTGATGAAAATATTTAAATTATATTTCCTTCTTTTTTTTGCTCAACTAAAATAAGATGTTAAGATTAAAATTTTATGGAACATGACGTATATAAGAGACATTACTAAATACATTTAGTAAATTTTTTTATTGATTAATCACAAAATTATGAAAATACGTCATAAATTATAAGAACAATAAATTGATTGTCAAACAATAGTAAAATATTTTATGTAGAAACAAAAATAGATAGTAATAGCCACCAAAACAAATAATTAGAACAACATAACCAAATAGCAATAGTCAATAGAAATATAAATTAATACAAATATCTAACAAAAACATATAGCAATAGCAAGCACATGATCTTAACGTTGAATTGTTGAAACACAAAATTAAATAGTCGGACATATAGAGATAACAATAATCAATATAATCGGACCTTATTGGAGATAAAAAAAAAATATTAGAGATGCAATCAACAATAACATATAATGAATGATCAATTAATTTTTTTTAAATTTATTCTCCAATGTAATTAGTTGATATATTTTTTGGAACTTATTATCTACTAAATTCTTTTCGCCTCTTATTATATGCTACAAGTTTTTGGGTTTCTTTAACTTATTAAATTCTTTTAGACTATTATTGTAATTTAAGAAAAAAATTTGGATCCCTGATATTTTTGGGCCTTAGACATACGCCTGTGCCGCCCCCTTTGGACGGCCCTGGTTGCATATATAGTCGTATATGCACAAGTCATATTAATTTGATTGGTGATTGTTATAAAATCAAATGACTTAGTTTTTGAAACAGTTTGAGAGGAGCTGAGGAGAGGAGGTGCACAAATTGTTTCAAGGTGTCAAATGTGGTGGGTCAAATTTGTTAAAACAAAGTTGAAAGACGAAAACTGTTGAAAATAACAAACAGTTTAATGTTGTTGGAATGTTGCAACATAGAAATAATATGATTTCAAGTTTAAGGATTTTTTACTCTAATACTGCAAAAACAAGCTAATCACTCAATTTAGCTCCAAATATAATAAATAAAAGTAATAAATATGACTTAAAATAAAATAAAATAAACTATCTAATAAATAAAGAAATGAAAACTTTATGCAGTCAACCACCTTAACACTCCACTTATAGTCATATTAATTTGATTGGTAGATTGTTATGATATGATTGAATTTTTGGAACGCGTTTTCTAACCCCACCCCCTCCTATTTCTTTTCCCCTATATTTTCTATAACCCCACCTATATAATACAATAAAATAATTAAAAATTTATTTATTTTATTTTTCAATTTTAATCCTTTAATATTTTTAGTTTTTACCCTTCAATTTTTTAAATATTTTTCTATTATATCCCTTAGGTTTTTTATCTATACTATAATTACATATATTARTTAACTATATATTATTATTAATTAAGTATTAAGGATACATATTATTTTTAATAATTATATAAATTAATTAACTTTATATTATTATTAATTAATAAAGTATTAAAAATATGTATTTTTTAAATTATATATTTGTATATGAATTTTTTTCAATATTTATACTTTATATCTTTATAAAAATTTATTATATTTATTTACTTCTTTATTTTTATTTTATACCCTTATGATATTTATATAATTACGGTTCCATAATTAAATAAAACGATGTTCAATATTTGGTTCATTTTGAAGTTATTGACGAGACGATTACGATGATGTAACTTATTAAAATCTAAACATATTTTTAATAGGAATGGTAGCGGGCCGTGTTTGGGCCGGGTATTGGTATCCCTGTCCCCGAAACCAATAGCTAAAACCGTCTCCGTAATCGTCCCGATCCCCGTCAGGGATCCCCATCGGGTCCCCGCGGTTTCCCCGATCCCCGTTAAAATCTCTATATATATATATATAAATATATATATATATATATACATATCGGGTCGGGCCGGTGATCACCGTCCCCGCCCCCGTCCCCGTTAAAATCCCCCGATCCCCGCCCCGTTATTGAAAATACAATTATAATAATATAATGAAATCAAATAATATTCATTATTAGGTTCATTTCGAAGAGATTGACGTGACGATTTTAATGGTGCAATTTGTTAAAATAAAAAGTATATTATAAAATGAGTATGTAAAATGAACAAGATGAATAAAGGGTATGAAAATGCTTCCTAAGAGGTTAATTTCATTGTTAGATCTAATTTTAATTAATATAAAATTATGTTTTTCAATGTGATAATAGTGTAAAACGAAAATTAAAATAAATAAATTATGTATATTAAAAATATTTTTTTATAGTATTATAATAATATAATTAAGTCAAAAACTATTCAATATTGATCTTATTTTGAAGGTATTAACGAGACGATTATAATGATGTAACTTGTTAAAATAAAAATGTATTTTATAAATATGTTTTAATTGATATACGATTATATGTGTTAATTTGATAAGGGTATAAAATAAAAAACTTAAAAAAAAGATGTAAAGTAAATTAATTAATTAATTATATGAGTATAAAATGTAAATTTAAAATTAAAATTTTAACAAATTTGGTGAACGTGAAAATGTGAGTGAGGGAAAGATGTGAGGGGAGGGGGTGAGAAGTGACGTAAAGGGGTGTGCCTCTAATAAAGATGGTGTTTTTGTCAACGCAAAATGCAAAAAGCACCAAAAACAAAATATATCTACGGTTTCGTCGTGGCCGGGATAGAAGTGGTCCAGGTGTCGTCTTCAATGCAAATCTTGTCAAAAACCTAAATCTTTTCAATCCCACACCATCTTCCACACCTCTGCAACAATGGCCCAATCTCTCTTCATCAACCCAACTCCAACTCTTTGCTTCAAAGGTAAAACAAACACACATATTCTCTTCATTTTCCTGATGAACAATTCTGTTTTCTGCTTGATCTCAATGCTCCAACTATCGACTCAGGATTAGCATCTAATTGCTGTTCTTCTTCTGCAAATCTCCCCTTTCAGGTCAATCAAAAAATCATGGAAATGTGTTGTTTAATGCTAATAAACCAAATCCATGGAAGTCCTCACTAGCAAAATCAACCAGTCCTCGAGCTTTAGAAACAGAAATCCCTACGCATTGGTACAACATCATCGCGGATCTCCCCATCAAACCTCCGCCACCATTGCATCCAAAGACCTTTGCACCATTACAACCTCAAGACCTATCTCATCTTTTTCCAGATGAATTGATTAAACAAGAAGCAAGCGATGAGCGATTCATCGTCATCCCAGATGAAGTTGTTGATATTTACCGGCTATGGCGCCCTACCCCTCTAATCCGGTCGCTTGCTTCTTTTATATGTTTTCCAATCTGAACACTAGAATTGCTGATTTCATAAACAACATTCCATCAGATCTTACATGTTTCAATTTGATACAGAGCCAAGAGATTGGAGAAATTGCTTGATACCCCTGCAAGAATTTATTACAAATACGAAGGTGTGAGCCCAGCTGGTTCACATAAACCGAACACCGCCGTGCCTCAGGTTTGGTACAATGCTCAGCAAGGTGTCAAGAATGTCGTCACCGAGACTGGTGCCGGCCAATGGGGGAGTTCTTTAGCATTTGCTTGCAGCTTATTTGGTCTTAACTGTGAAGTAAGTTGTATTGTATGTTATACACATATGCATACATTTCTATGTATGTGCATAACGAAAAATTACTTATTACTTATAAATTACTTGTATATACGTGTGCATACACGAATTCATAATCTAGATTCTTTTGAATGATTGCGAGTTCTAAACCTTATAATAATCTTGTTTGATCCGAAAAAGGTGTGGCAAGTTCGAGCTTCTTATGATCAGAAACCATATCGGAAACTGATGATGCAAACTTGGGGAGCCAAGGTTCATCCTTCTCCTTCCAACCTCACCGAATCCGGACGAAAAATTCTTGAAATGGATCCATTAAGTCCAGGGAGTTTGGGGATTGCCATTTCTGAGGCTGTAGAGATGGCAGCTCTTAATGAAGATACTAAATATTGTTTAGGAAGTGTTTTGAATCATGTTTTGTTGCATCAAACTGTTATTGGGGAAGAATGCATTAAGCAGATGGAGGATCTTGGGGAGACTCCTGATGTGATTATCGGATGTACGGGTGGCGGGTCGAATTTCGCGGGGCTTTGTTTCCCTTTTATAAGAGAGAAACTTAAAGGGAAAATGAATCCTCTTATACGAGCTGTAGAGCCTACTGCTTGCCCTTCATTGACCAAAGGTGTTTATGCCTATGATTATGGAGATACAGCCGGAATGACTCCTTTGATGAAGATGCATACACTCGGCCATGACTTCATTCCCGATCCTATCCATGCAGGTAATCTTTACAATTCGATTCTCTCAGTATAGTAAAATCAGCTTTATAGGATGCTAACAATGTATAGATGTCCTAATAGACTGATTTATATAGACTGTTTTATAGAGTATAGATGTCCTGATAGACCGCCTAATACGCCCAATAGAACTATAGGTTTATGGCACTAAACTATATACATGTGTGCTACAATAGCGTATTTGGGCATCTTAAGTGGCTTTTGAAATAAAATGTCATATAAAAAAAAAGGCTAATATGACATTTTTAGAAAATCTGTTATGATGTCCAAAACTGTCATGTCAACTTATTGTAACATCTTTATATATGGCATATAATTGTTTGGTCCTGTAAATTTAAGTCCAATAAAGCATTTTATTAGGACATTTAGACAGGTCTAGTATAAAACCTACATTTCACGTAATAATCTTGTAATGTCCATCACTTATTGCTTTAAATCGAATGATAATGTTACAATTTTGTTAAAGATTTGTGGACTTTTGCAGGAGGATTGCGTTATCATGGTATGGCGCCACTGCTTTCGCATATCTACGAACTGGGTTTCATGGAAGCAATCGCGATTCCACAGACCGAGTGCTTTCGAGGTACAATTGCATCGTTTTCTTTTGTAACAAGTTTATACTCTAAAAAACTACTCATCTACTGTCATTTCAAACAAAAATATGACCTTCATTTGGGTCCATTCTTGTTATTAAAACTCGTTTCTCTAATCAACCGTCTAAATTCGATCGACAAATGAAATGGTTGCAGGGGCCATACAATTTGCTCGGTCAGAAGGACTGATTCCAGCACCCGAACCCACACACGCCATAGCTGCAGCGATTCGTGAAGCCCTTCACTGCAAAGAGAGCGGTGAATCAAAAGTGATACTGATGGCAATGTGCGGGCATGGTCATTTCGACCTGCCTGCTTACGAGAAATACCTGCAGGGTGGCATGGTTGATTTATCTTTCTCAGAGGACAAGATACAAGCTTCTCTTGCCAACATTCCACATTTGAGATCCTAAAATCGTCGCACTTTTTATCGTTTCCACTTCATTATCGTATAACTTACTGTTTGTCTTATATTCGAGTAACACGACAATTTACTGCTACTAAAACCATCGATATCGTTGTATAACAGATAACTGATGAAAGTACAAGTAATTTACATTGCATACATGTTTGAATCAACAACTTATGTTTGGTTGTTCGTTTTAGTCGAAAGCACCCATCGAGCTAAAGAGGCTGGCTACAAAGAGGAAAATAGCGATAATAACCGAATGCATACGGACCTTGTCTTGGTTTGTTTGGTAAGTCGCCATGCGTGCTGCCTTACACGAATTGCATTCATAACATTTGGTATGTTGCGATTTCTTTGTGGTCGTATTGGCCCATTTTACGCAATCGTCGTGATCGCTTATGCCTTTGAACGAGGCAAATTGCTTTGCACATCTCGGCGGAGGCACACAACATCCCTCCTAAAACCATGAGTTAGATATGTGATGTAATGATAACGACAATAAAACTAAGAATACGTTGGACCTCATTAAATTATTTTACAAAAGAGCCCTTGAAGAAAAAAGGGGTTCCAATATATATTGAAGCCTTCCTCTAATGGAGCTCCAATGGAGGTTAGAGGGACAAAAAGATTTACAAAAAAGCCCGATGCATGCACAATCCAGGGCATGAGTCCGAGCCCGACCTGAAAAAGCCTGGACCTAGTGAGCCCGAAGCCCGGTCCGAGTTTGGACTCAGAGCCTGATCATGCGGAAATTTTGGGGGCAAGACCAGGTCTAGGCCTAGCCCGAAAAGTCTGGTTAACCCCAAAAAAAGCCCAAAAAGTTCGGCCTGAAAGAACCCGATGGGCCCTTTGTAACTACGGGCCTTTTTCTTCTCAATGAAAACGGGTTTGAAAGTCCTGGGTCCATGCCCGAAAAAGGTTGAGCCTTATGCATCTCTACTAAACAAAGATGTCCCACACGGTAGAAATGGATTCTGATACCATGCTAAATATGTTGAAGCTCGTTAGATTACTCTTAAAAAAACCATTGAGCATAAAATGGGGTTCCACCATATATCGGAGAAAATTTTTAAATCTAGCCGATATGAAACTGTAACAATTACGAGGATGTTACAAGATACGTACCCTGAAATATTTGTAGTAATTTTCGATTTTCCAATCTTCTTTACCAAAGAGCCTTTTAGAACCCGAGACTTCTTCGCAAAATCGAAGCTCGGTCAAGCACTGCTCGACCATTGGCCACACATGGTCTGCAACCAAAGCATCGATTAGGATCTGCTTATACTCTTCGTCTAACGGCGAATTACTCCTGTAAACTTCGTTGAAAGCCATCGGTATGGGTTTCCGAATCAACCCGAACATAAGCAAGCGCCAAATCATGACCGCGATGACGCAAATAATGCCGATGTTCACCAAGAAACTAAAGACCCATTGCAAAAATGTGATCTTACAAATGATCCCCATGAGCCCGAGGATGCACGAAATGCACACGAGAGCCAACAAGCATGTCGGCCACCACACGGTGTCTTCTAAACATGTTTCGCTATGTAGGTGCACCACTCGTATGCCAATTTGTAATAATCTTTTCGATAGCAAATATATCGAGCCTGCGGTGCCACCAATTAACCAAATAGTTAGCAGAAATCTCAAAAACATACCCATTTTCGCTCCCTCTGTGCCGATAAATGTTACGGTACATGAAAACTTACATTTGCCATAGGAAATGAATAAACAGATGTTCGTAAATTTTTTAGCTAGGGTTGTTTCTTTTTGGGCGTATTAGTGTCAATCTTTGAGAAAAAAAAGTACGTATCCTCCGAATATCTCTATCCCCAAACTCTTTTTTTTTCCAAATACGGAAATGACATTGGTTGTTTGAAATTGAAAGATTGAGATTTAAGCGGTAATATAACCGATAATATCTTATTTAGGAAAGTCTTGACCACTAACATATTATAGGTACGTTGCTAGGCATTTGACGGAAGATTGAGGTGACATTTGTTTTTTAAGAGATGTTGAAGTTTGAAGTCTGATTTCGTTTATGCTATAAAAGGTGGTCCTGAAATCTGAAATTTGGACCAATAAGATTGTTTGTTTTTAAGTCTGAAGTCTTAAATTTGAATCGGTCAAAAATAGAAAAGATAAATAATTTTTTTTACAAAAGTAAAAAAGAAAAAGAGTTTTTGATAATAAATCTCTTTCAACCCACAAAATACGAACCATTTGATAAAAGACAGATTAGGATTAAGAGGTGTTAAGAGGTATATTTACTATTTAAAATTTCAGAGGATATTTAGAGCTTTTAAGCTCTTATTTTGAAAATAAAATAAACGCTCTTAATACCTAAACATCTTAATGAATCAGACTTAAGATGTATTAAAAGATAATTTATAAAAAAAAAACAGAAAGCCCTCAAACTACGTTTTTATGGAAGAAATTGTTTTTTTCTTAGATGAAAATACGAAATCGAATCGTTGAAACTGTTACGGGTGTTACGGGGTGTATTAGTTGATCACAATTATTTATTTTATTATGCTGATTAATTTATTAAAAATATTTAATAGATTATTAAATAAAAAACCAAATTATATATTATACTAGGCGCATAATATAAATTTATTATTATTAAAAAAAAAGACAGATTTACCTCATCAGATGACTGGCATACGAATTTATCTACATGTTAACTTAAAAGACCATTGATATTATAAAAATAAAATTAGAAACTATGAATGTATATTATGTGTTTGAAAAATATGTAGATGTGAAATAAACTAGTGGTGCTCAAAAACTCGACCAACACGATTAATCCAATGTGAAATAACTTAACTCGAAGCAATTTGATGTCTAATCGAGTTGTAAAATTGTCAAACCGTAAGTATTGAGTTACTATTATTTAAACTCAACTCAACCCGATGAACCCGATATCCTTTTATTTCTTGGATTTAGCATGATTGTTGAATTTCTATAAGTATATACATTAGACAATTACATTATCATGTGTGCTCTTCATATACATATATTTTCAATCTATTCATATTTATATATAACTCATTCGTATATATGTTTAGTAACTGTGAACATATGTATGTAAATTGAGAAAATTAACTGAATGTGATATATGTAAGAAGTATGAATAAGTTGTATCAAATGACTGATGATGAAAAAGAAATTATGAGTAGAGAAATAATATATTCAAGGTTAGAATAATATTTTAATATATCAAAGTATCAACCCGTACGGGTTGAGTTGGGTTGCACTTTGGTTTGGATTGAGTTGGGTCAAGATTTTATATCGAATTGAATTGTTCAAATATCTTCAACCCGATCAACTCAATCCATGAACAACTCTAAAATAAACCACGAGAGGGACCAAAAATTGTAATTCCCTCTATTTATACTAGTATGGGAACCGTGCGTTGCACGGTAGCATGAGTACTTTGATTAATAATCTAAAGATTGTCTATATAAATATGTATTAGTTGTTAATAGAATTATCAACAAATAGTATTTAAATAATTCTAAAAAGTTAAATAAACTATAATTAGTGAAATTTTAATATATATATATATATATATATATATTGAGAGAGAGATTTGTTTAGGAATAAAGTTGTAAAACTAAATAAAATAAGTAATAATAACATGAGAATATCAAGGAATTTGACACACTCAATAATAAAAAATATTTCACATAAAGATATGTCTCCTTCAAATATTTCAACTTACATTGATGTAAGAAAATCAATTGAAAGAAGCAAAAAAGAACCATATTGGAAAACTTAAAATATACGATGAGTCAATCATAAGGCATTACATGAATCTAACTTCAACTTTTCATTTTCTTGCTTTGTTGTAAAAAGGAATCTATAGGGCTATTTGGATTGACAATAAATTGAGTAATGAACACTTACGCAACCAAAAGATAACTTATAAAAGTTTTGGCATAAGAAAAAGAACTATCAAGAATATCATAAAAAATCAATCTATAATATATTGTTTTAACACATATAAAACAAGTAAATTAAAGAAAACCTAAAAGATATTTATATTATACATAACTAATCTCATAAAGCAAAACGATTACTTAGTGGAGAGAGAAACGTAAACGTCTTGTATGTCGGAATTATGAACATCGACGGTTGCAATCATGTTGCACCTTAAGAAATGAGTGAATACAATTAAAATTCTTCAATTAATTTATCATATAATTGCATTATTAAAAATAAATTATATATGATTCATATAACAACTCATACATGATCCAGACGACTTTACCCTRCGACTTAAGTGGCCTCAAAAGTCGCAAGCTTCCATTTAATGTAAAATCACATGTGAGTTTGTACATTAACGACATTTTTCTTGTTTTTTTTAATAATTAACGTTCTCGTTCGAACTTTCTTCTATGTATGTATTATTAAATATATATATATATATATATGTATTTATATATTTGTGGATTCTAATTTCATTTAAAAAATAAATATGATTGAATTTTTTTATTGAACTACCTTTTGATCTTATATTAGTATATTTTTTAAATATATATTGATATATCGAGAAATTTTGATATATTGATTGATTTTTGATGATATTTTTTTTTCGATTGTCAGTACATAGAAATTTATATACATTGATGTAAATAAAAATAAATGTATGTACATTTTAGTTTTATTTATAAAGAAAAAAAATACCGATTGAAACTTCTCATTGAACCACCTCTTGGTTTTTAATTTAATATATTTTTAATTATATATTGATATATTAATTGATTGAGAAATTTTAATGTATTTTGATATATATTGATTGATTGATGATTTTTATTTTTTCAATTGTCATGTAATTAAAAATATACATTTATTGTTATAAAATAAATTATATGTAGTTTTATGTATTTGTGGATTCAAATTCATTTACAAGTAAATAAATAAAATTAAGTTAAAAAAGTAGGAAAATAAAAGGTTTAGCAATTAATATGTTGATTGTATATCATAAATAAATAATAATAATAAAGATAAATATGATAGAAACTTTTCATTAAACAGCCATTTGGTTCTTACTTCACACACCGCGTGTTGCATAGTGATGAAACTTGTTTTGTTAGAAAATACGTAATCAAATTAAGGTGAAACGTAATTTCATAATCAATTGTATTATAAGACAGTGATTACATTGGGGTGTTTTTTATGCAAATTTTTTTCATTGATATTGTTTATTGTAACTAAAGAAATTCATACATTTTATATTTTTTGGTTGCAGAACAATAATTTTATTGAAGTTCAATTTGTATAAAAATTGTTAGCCGTAACCCGCAAGTATTGTATGATTACTATTGAGCACTATCGTAGGTGTATGCAAAAGTAATCTTTTCAATTTAGATTGTAACACTTATTTTCCAGATTTTTTTTAAATAAATTCATGTACATATAGTCATCCGAATAATTAGATGTGTAATCACAATATAAGAAATGATATAACTAAATTTATAATACAGTTAAATAATAGAAAATAAAATAAGAGTATTTTATTAATTATTGAATGAAATATAATATCCTCTAATCTTGAGGACTCATACAATGCAAGGTATGTAAGCAATAACATTCGTTATATTATAAGTTTACTGATTGTTGTAAACAATAGCTAATCATGGTTGGCCAAAAATCGAAGAACTGAAATTTAAATTGGATTCATTATAGACAGAGAAATTATTATTGTCTTAGTTTTGAAATTATTATTGTCTTAGTTTTGATAACAGAAAACTTAGTTTTGTGTAATGATGCTTACGATAAGCACAAAAAAGGATGATGTACATGTACCATTTTTCATCCTCAACACACATCCTGACTTTAAAAACACAATAGTAAATGGACCAACCATACGATATGTACAAAATCACATACCGAACTTAAAGACTTCAAATATTTATAACCCAATAAATAAAATTATAATGCAATCAAAATCACAACACAAACATACATAAAATTATCACACGACTAAACTTACTATAAGAACATACTTAAAAATATAATCCAATCGAAATCATAACATTCTAATACACTCTAAATTACAAAATAAACTTGCATAAAATCCTTACCTTAAATCATAATCATAAATTCCCACAACCCAAACTTGAAAACTTCAAATTTTTAAGACTTAATATATAAAAGTTGAAGAACTCGAAAATCTGCAAATCAAAAAAAAGTTCAACATAAGTAAAAATTACATAGTAAACTTGAACACTTCAAATCTTCACTTAATACATAAGAGTTATAATACAAACAAAATCACGATACAAACATAAATAAAATTATATTGCAATCAAAATCATGAAACAAATCAATATAAAATTATTACCTTGTATTGCAACCAAAAAATCAAATATTGAACTTGAAAACTTCTTCAAATCTTGATGACATAATGCAATCTAAATAACGATACAAACATTCATAAAATTATAGGAGAAGAGAAATAACAAAAAAACTATGAAGATTATCAATAGTAAAATAGAAGAAAAACCAAAGATGAAAAAAATAAATTTAGAGATGTATAAGATAGAGATAGAATTTGAGAGGATGTGAGAGATGAAGATGAACAAAAAGTTGTTGTTTTTATATATATAAATAAAAAATTGATTGGAAAAGATGAATGATTTGGAGTTATGTAATTTGAATTAATATAGAAGAAGATGAATGGTTTGAAGTTGAATGCAAACATTCAAGAAAAAAAACATAAATTGACAAAAAAAAATATAGTAGTGGATATTAAAAGAATGAAGGAAAAAAAAGAGAAATAAGGTTCTAAGCTCTAGGAGAAGCCATCTCAACAACTCATGGTTTCTACTTTAATATATACACCCAAATAAACAAAAATGCAAATGACCTAAAAAAAAAACTGAATAGATGGGAAGAATTGAGAGGTTAAGAGAGATATTATGCTTAAACAATGTTAAATTGTTTCTTCAATTATTCATATGCCACTTTATCTACACAAAAAGAAATCGATATGCCTACATAATTCCAACTATAATCTGAATGTCTCCGACTAAAAAAAGAAAATATTATACTTACATAAACAAAAACTCATATCGTGATTTGTCTTATTGAATGACACCTCAAATAAACAAAAATGCAAATAACATCCACAAATTTATAACTGAATAGAGAGAAAAAATCGAGAGATTAATAGAGAGATTATCATAGAAGTGTACCACAAAATTATACATGAATATAGAGGAAGAATTGAGAGATTATTATAGAGATTTACCTTGAAGAGAAAATGAAAGTTTGTAACCAAATAGAGAGAAATAATGAGAGTTAAAAGAGTAATTATTAGAGGAAACATGAATAGGTTGAAACAACCTAATTAAAAAGTCTTAAATGTGAATATTTTTTTATTAAAAACAAATATTGAGGTAGGAAAAACTTGAAAAAAAGGAGAAAAAAGATAAAACATTTTTATGTTTTGAGAAGAGGCCACATCATTACATGAGTGCTTTGATTAATGATCTGATGATTGTCTATATAAATATATATTAATTGTTAATAGAATCATCAACAAATCATATTCAAATAATTCAAAAAACTTAAATAAAATATAGTTAGTGAAATTTTAATATACCCACACATATATATATATATATTGAGAGAGAGATTTGTTTAGTAATAAAATTGTAAAACTAAATAAAATGAGTAATAATAGCGACGAAAATATTAAGGAATCTGACACAAATTTAAGAATAAAAAAATACTCCACATAAAGATATGTCTCCTTCAAAGGATGATGTACATGTACTATTTTTCATCTTCAACACATACATTGACTTTAAAAACACAGTAGTGAATGGACCAGACCAACCATACGATATGTAAAAAATCACATACCAAACTTAAAGACTTCAAATCTTTATAACCCAATAGATAAAATTATATTGCAATCAAAATCATAACATGAACATACATAAAATTATAATACGACTAAACTTACGATAAGAACATACTTAAAAATATAATCCAATCAAAATCATGATACAAACATACATAACATTCTAATACACTTTAAATTACAAAACAAACTTGCATAAAATTCTTACTTTAGATCATAATCAAAAATTCCMACAACCCAAACTTGAAAAGTTCAAATTTTCATGACTTGATATATAAACGTTAAAGAACTCGAAAACCTGCAAATCAAAAAACGTTTAACATGCATAAGTAAAATTTTCATGGTGAACTTGAACATTTTAAATCTTTACCTAATACATAAGAGTTATAATGCAAAGAAAAATCACGATACAAACATAAATAAAATTATAATGCAATCAAAATAATGAAACAAATCAGTATAAATATTTTACCTTATATTGCAACCAAAAATTCAAATATTGAACTTGAAGACTTCTTTTCAAATTTTCATGACATAATGCATAAAAACTATAATGCAACCTGAATAACATAACGATACAAACATACATAAACTTATGGGAGAAGTGAAAAAAAAAACTATGAAGATTATCAATAGTAAAATAGAAGAAAAACCAAAGAGAAAGAAAATAAATTTAGAGATGTATAAGATAGAAATAGAATTTGAGAGGGTGTGAGAGATGAAGATGAATAAATAGTTGTTGTTTATATGTATATAAATAAATGATTGATGGGAAAAGATGAAGGGTTTGGAATTATGTCATTTGAATTAATATAGAAGGAGATGAATGGTTTGGAGTTGAATGCAAACATTTAACAAAAAAAACATAAATTGACAAAAAAAATATATAGTAGTGGATATTGAGATAATGAAGGAGAAAAAAGATTAATGAGGTTCTAGGCTTTAGGAGAGGCCACTTCAAACACTCATGGTTTATTCTTTAATATATATATATAAAATAATACATAAGAGTTATAATGCAAACAAAAATCATGATACAAACATAAATAAAATTATAATGCAACCAAAATCATGAAACAAATCAATATAAAATTATTACCTTTGCAACCAAAAAATCAAATATTGAACTTGAATACTTCTTCAAATCTTCATGACATAGTGCATAAAAACTATAATGCAATCTAAATAACGAAACAAAAATACATAAAATTGTGGGAAAAGTGAAAAAACAAAAAAAAAAACTATGAAGATTATCAATAGTGAAATAGAAGAAAAACCAAAGAACTTGAAACTTTTTCAAATCTTCATGACATATAATGCAATTTAAATAA